TCTAGAAGCAAGTAAATCAAATCGGTTAAGATATGTTTCATCCGATTTGGTGTTTAAAGTCCCTCAAACGCGTAATATCCAAACCACGAGATTGATATTTGATACAGGGCATAAGATACTGCTTGAAAATACCTCTACCAAATGTTATCGAGATCGGTTCAGATTTTTATGTAGCTTCGACATACGGCTTCATCCGCCCGACTTTTGGCCTTTCCTTACTGGTTTAAGAGTTATTTTTTGAAGATCTGTAATATATTTTCAATATTTCTATCAATACAATATCTTTTATAATCGTGGTAAAGATTGGACCATTCCTTCTTGTACCTCCCCCACAAATGGTCAAAATCCGAAATAGGCTTCCGGCTATCTTCATATTTCACACATACTATTATTTCTACTACAACAAGACCTGCTGTTAAGATGGGATACATCGGTCCGCTTATTCTACCTCCCCCATAAAGGGTCAAATTTTTGAATATCCATGTAGCTCATAAAATGCGAAATAATATCCAATTCCATTAAAACTTGGCACATTTAAATATTTCTATCAGCACAAGATTTGTTATAAAGATGGTAGAGATCGGACAATTCCTTTTAGTACCTCCCCCACAAAGGTTCAAATTTGGAATAACCAAAACGATCATGAAATTCGAAAAAGATAATATTTCTACTAATACAAGATCTGCTGTGAAAATGGAATATAGCGGTGCATTCCTTCTGGTACCTCCCACAAAGGGTTGAAATTTTTGAAAAACAAAACGCTCAAAGAAAACGGCAAAAGCATCCAACTCTTTTAAAATTTGACACCTCCAAACCTTTTTGCTAAAGCAAGATCTGTTGTGAAGATGATAGATATCTGACAACCCCTTCTGGTACCTCACCCACTACGTTTCGCAATTTTCAATACTTATATCTGTCATAACTTGCGAAACAAGTAAGAAATTCTTTATATCTAAATATTCTTTTTATATCCAAATATTTCTCTCAAACAGAAATCTGAAAGCGGAATTTATGATCTCAATTTATGATCCAATTGGATGGATATAAATGTTCGAATTTCTTTTTATGGGTGAGGGTATACATCTATCGGCGAAACCGATTGATACTTTTTAACTTGTTAAAATATATTTTCTTAGAGGATTATCAAAGATGCTATAAATCCTGAAACCCAATTGAAATAAATTTCTAAATATCAAACACAATTTCCCAATACAAAATGGAAAATTCGAAATTTAAACAAAATATTCTAAAATCCAAATTTTTCAATTCGAATTTTCGTAATATGAAATTCTTTTTATAATTTTCAAACACACTATACGATATAATTCAAAAAGAATTTCCGATTTCTAACTGTTATTTTCTAAAATACTGATGAAAATGTTAAGAGTGCTCTTATTGTAGTGTTTGTTATAATATATTTTATACCGACCCCACAAATATGACCAGTTTGCGGAAATTGTTATCATTTAAGCCGGTCAACCAATGCAAATCACTCCGATTCAAAGTATTTTCATTCCATTGTCCCTGTGAACACATTTGCTCTTCGTGGAATAGTTCATTCGAAACTCTGCAAACAATGTGTTGCCACTGATTCAAAAGCTCCTCGTTCCCCCCTCACATCACTGGCCATTATGAATACTTAATGTCACACTCGCACACACAAATACACGCACTCTGGCCATTATGACACCCTGCACACAGGAAACGGATAAAGTCAATGAATGAAATTCAAACGTTAAATATATAACCATGTGTAGATAAGTAAATACAAATACATGTACATATATTTACATAGAAATTGTACGCACAAACATACATACATATATGGGGTGTTGAAGTTGAATAAATGAAGGAGGAAAAAGTGATAAGAATGAATTTTGTTACATGTGCACTTCTGTTCGAATTGCTGGTATGCCATTAGATTTTTTACAGGAAGAAGTTGATATTTTCTCATGGGGCACAGTGTGACATATATTAACTCTTGGTTTAAAGGTTTTGGCCGAATATTTTGGTCGTTTTTTTTATGTGTCTGGTTGGAACACACGATAATTGTCAATAATAATATCCGAGTATCAGACTTAGAGCGTTTTCGTAGAGTGACAGAATAGGGCACTTCGTCCTGGCAGCTCCACGAAAGACCGAATTTGAAAAAATATCAAAAAAAAAATTTGAATAATTACAATTCTTATAAAATGTGATGTAAGATTCCAATTGTCTTCAAATTTCAGACAGCCGAATAATTTTATTAACCCAACGTGTAGTGTTAAGATGGAATATATCGGTCCACTTCTTCTGGTACCTCCCTCACAAAAGTTCGAAATTTTCAAAAGAAAAAATATTTTCTGCACAGAAAGAGAAGCAATAATCCGATTTTGCTACAATTTTGCAAATCTTAATATTTGCCTTAGTTCTCGGGCAGGTGAAAAATGGATAATATCCGGCCACTTCATTAAGAGCTTCCCCACAAAGGGTCAATATTTGGAATAATTATAACTCTTATAAAATGTGATGTAAAAATCCGATTGTCTTAAAATTTCACAACAAACTCAAGATCTGGTGCTATGATGGAATATATCGGTCCACTCTTTCTGGTACATTCCCCACAAAAGGTCGACATTTTGAATATCCATTAAGCTCATAAAACGGGAAATTAACATCCGATTCCATTTAGACTAGGCACATCTGAATATTTCCATCAACACAGGATCTGTTATAAAAACGGTAGAGATCGGACCATTCCTTCTGGTACCTCCCCTACAAAGGGTCAAAATTTTGAATATCCATCAAGGTCATAAAACGCGAAATAAGCATCAGGTTTTCTTTATATTTCACACATTTCAGATTTCAAGCACTTCAAACCAAATTGTACCAAATATGGAATTATTAGGTACTTTTTGTAAAATTTCTTTGGTACATTTTCGGATATTTAGTACCATTTTAGAATTTTTCCTATCCATAAAGTTCGAATTTCCTGAACTTCATCAGTGCCTCCCATTCCAGTTGAAGGTCATTTCGTTTGTGAAAAAGAAGCTATGTTCCGTTGAGCCGAATGTTTAATACCCTACACTATATCAAAGGATCTTGAATAAATTAAAAAAAGAACCGTCGAAAAATGCCTCTTAAATGAAAACCGTTATATGTAAGTAAGTAATTTGTTATCATAGGCTGTGGTAACGATTCCGAACTTCAAATACGAAATTTGAGACAATTTCAGTGAATAATGTTGCTAAAATCATCAATACATTGGTTAAACGGAGGTATCGTTATATATGAACTATACGACGACGTGGACCTGCATAGACAATTTGCTAGCATAGGTTGTAGTACTCATTACGAGGTTAAAATTTAAATACGAAATTTGAAACAATTCCGATATAAAATGTCGCTAAAATCTTAAAAATACCGAATATCGGGGGGTACCGTTATATGGAGGATATACGATATCATGGACCTATATAGACAATACTCTTCCCTGGGTAAAGTACTCAGAAGGAAATCCTTGTGTGGATTTTCAGATAATTCTATTGAAAAAATGGCTACAATCATCAAAAATACCGAATATCGGTAGTTACCGTTATATGGGGGATATTCGATATTATGGACCTATATAGACAATTCTCTTACATGGGGTAAAGAACTCAGAAGGAACTCCATGTGTGGATTTTCAGACAATTCCATTTAAAAATGGTGGCTAAAATCATCAAAATACCGAATATCGGGAGGAATTGTTATATGGGGGATATACGATATCGTGGACCTAAATAGATAATTCTTTTCAGGGGGTGAAGAACTCAGAAACAACACCTTGAGTGGAATTTCCGACAATTCTATTGAAAATTGTGCCTAAAATAATCAAAATACCGAATTTTTTTAAAATTAGGAAAAATATTAGACAAATAAAAACAACTTGTTGAGTATATAATTTTGAATAATTCTGACAGGAAGCTGGCCAGTATCAGGACTGTATTTCTGTACTTTTACGAAGCTGTTCTACCTCCTTGTTTTACAATGGTAAAATCCAGTTCTCCATTTCCAATTTGTGTAATTTGACCACAACGCTATTTTTACTGGACTTTAAGGTATTCAAAATTTATAAAATAAATAAAGCTTCCAAATATTTTAACAGGTTTGTCCAAATGCAAAATTTGTCTTACACTTTCGAAATTAGGTTTTCCAAATATTAACTACCAGCATTTAAAAACGCAATGTACTATCATCATATTAAGACATTTTACTTGAAAGATCTCATATTTCATTCATGCTTTTAAAATGCATTTCCGGATACACCGGTAAAGTTCTGACGCACTGGTGCAAATCCCTATACAAAGGCTATGCTATAGGCTTTATTAATTTTTTAGTTCTTTTTAAATTGTACAACCAGGATTAAAAAAGGAACACTGTGTAACTGCAGGGTGGTTGTTTCGGAATGCCTAAAACTTCGCTGAGGGGGATGTATGTGTGTATGTATATTTGTGTTTGTCATAGAAATTGTCTCTTCTCTTTTGTACAATATTTTTTACAATTTTGTTGGTTTGCGGAAGTGAAACGGAGTCAATGTTTTGAACTTTAAGCCAAAAGAAGAAACACGAAGAAGAACAAGAATATAAACAAATACAACACAAAAGAGTAATGGTAAGTATCATTGGAACATACACATGTATGCATGTATGTGTAAGTTTGTATGTATTTTTTTCGGTGGAGTTGGTGTAACTGAAAGTAATGTAACAAAATTGTATAAGGCTGTGGTTATTGATTTTTCATTTTATATTTTTTTTCGCAGCACACCAATTTTCTAATACTTTCAAAGCAATTTATAATTAGCCATAACTTGACACATTGTTATAAATACATATATTTGACACATATTTTTGTCTGATGTTAATTTTAGTTTTTTTTTTTGCTTTTTGTTGTTCAACAACCATTTGTTTGCTTTTGTGGCCAGCACTTTTGTTTGCCAGAAAAACATAGGATTTTCACAGAATCGTGTAACCTTTCCCTACCAATTGGGTGGTTTGTGAGTGAAGCAGAACAACCTTCACATGTAATTTTGTCACATTTTTTCTATTTAATTTTCCATGTTTAATTTTTTGTTGTTGTTATTAGCTTTTCCTTAGCATATGTATTTTTTTTTTTGTATGATTTTATAACTTTTGTTTTTGTTAAATTATTTGTTGTTTCTTTCTTTTTTTTTGGTTTTTCACTGACTCGACCCGTTGTATTATTGTGCGTTTTCCTCAGCACCTGCCATGTGTTTGGCTTCACGTTTTCACTCGCAATGAATTGGGGGAAACATTTCACTTTAGTTCAGCAGAAACTTTGTGTCTCTTTCACAGCATGTTGTAGCATTAATACGTTTTCCCAACACATTTCAATTGGCTCTCTTTTGCGCTCTCGTGTATGCTATGTTTCTCTTGGCGCTCTAATGTTCTCTGTTTGGCCCCCCAATGCAACATCCACCCACCCCCAGTTAGGCAGCAAGTGTGTGTGTGCAAAAGAGTGGGGTTTCGTTTTGTTTGGCATTCACTCGACATACGAGTGCAGGCCATACAAACAACAACTCGAGTACTGTAGGTGTACGTGTGTGTGTGAGTGCGCGCATTTTTTGTGGTTATTGTTAGTGTTTTTGAAATAAGAAATAAATTTTTAGTGACAATTCCGTATTCTATGCACAATAGAATAGCAATGATTTCGTTGGAACAATGATGGGGTTGCCAATGTCACAGATAATTACTTTTTCTTTGAAAAAGAGAAGACGACTATTAAAAGATTAATAAAGGCGTTAGGTTCTGTCGAGCCGAACCATATTTACCCTTAATTGCGAAAAAAATATTAAAATTTTAGATGGTTATACAAAATATACCGTTTTTTGCCAAAGTTATATAATAATCAATTCTTGTTTTAACAAATAACCAAGACTTTACTCGGACAGGGCAGATCATTACAATATTTTAATACAAAGTTCCTGTGAAATTGCAATATCTTGAAAGAACGAACACCTCCAGATATAGGTAAAAAGTAATTATGGGTCTATCTGCTTACTTTTCCTGCAGAAATTTTCCAGATAAAGGTTGTCTTATTTTAATTTGCAAAAAAACTCTTGAAAAGTAAACAGACGGAGTCCCTGATAAATCTTTAAAGAATTCCGCTGATTGCAAAAATATTGTATTTTATTAAAAGTAACAAATACAAAAAACATTAAGTTCGGCCGTGTCGTGTTCCACTTTAAACTACAAATAACTGTAAGACCGTTTGGATAATGGTGTTAAACTTTTCAAAAAACCATAAAATCAAATCTTCTTAAATACCAAATTTGGAACAATTTCTTGGGTAAATGTGACTAGGATTATTAAAATACCTAACATCGGTGGGTATTGTTATATGTGCGCTATAAGAAAACGAGGACCTAATGTTCTGCCACCAAATCTAGAACCCAGTATGAACTAAAAATACCAATTTTTAGACACATCCGTGGGAAGGAGATACCATTATTTGGGGGGGCTATACGAAACCGTGGACCTATACATCCTATGTTCCGCCACAGCAGTTAGAACCCATTATGAACTACAAATACCAATTTTTGAACAGATCTTTGAAAAAAAGTGGCGAAAATCATCAAAATACCGAATATAGGGACGTAGCGTTATATGGGGGCTACACAAGAACGTGGACCTATACATACAGGGTTGCCCATATTCGACGAAACTTTGGGCCCTTTGGGCCCATTCCAATCGACGAGGCTTGTCCGCAGGCAACATTCTTTGCGTCAATTGAATTTTATACGGGAACAAATGCAAATCAATGCGAATAATCCGTTGTAAAGTGGACCGAGCCATGCCCAACTGCTGAGAACGGCGTTTTTGGGATGTTCTTGGGGACCTCTCAACACTGGCTCGCACGGCAGCGATATTCTCGGCCGATCGCCTTGATCGACTTTTATATGGCCTCTTCGGATTAGAAGAGCCTTACCAGTCGAAAATTGTTCGTATAAACGCTTAATGGTGTTCTTAGTAGACGCACTTCTTACATTTTTTAATGTTTTAAAAGCACGTTGAGTTTTCACAATTGACTTCTTCTGTTGAATGTAAATTTCAACTATTTCCGAGCGTTCGCGTGGCGTGTATTGGTTCATGGTAAAAATCTGCTTGGACTGACGCTTCAAACGCGGTATGTCATTAAGCGGTATGTCATTAAGCCATAACTTTTGACATCTCTGTCAAAAGTTATGGCTTTGCCAGATGGGTCCGTCGAATATGGGCAACCCTGAACAATGTTTCGCCACCGGAGCTAGAACCCATTTCGAACTTCAAATAAAAATTTTTAGACAAATTGGTGAAAAAATTTTGCGAAAATCATCAAAATATCGGCTATAGGGAGGTACCGTCTTATGGGGAGAGTTTTATTTATTTTTTCTTTTTGCTTAAAATGTGACTTTTTTTTATTAAAAAGTTGGTCAATTTAATTTTTTCTACCCACCTTCAGGAAAATTGAATTAAATTAATAAGAGAAACCCAATTTTCTCCTGAGTTTTTTTCAGTAAAAAATGGTAATTTCGGCCGTCGGTATGGCAGTTAGACACCACTTTAAATACAAAAGTTCAGACAATTCCGTTGAAAAAATTGTTGAAAACAATCATGCAAATATAGGTTGGTGCTTTTAAATGGGATACATACCACAATGTGGCTCTATATTAACACGTGACAACCTTTCAATATCAAATTCCATATAATTCCATTGAAAAATGTTGCGAAAATCGTCAAAATGCTTAAATGAGGGAGTACTGTTATGTGGGGGCTATACAAAAAGTTCGGCCTATATAACCCATCATCAAACTTGATCTAAGTTCAGACCTCAAGGGCATGTGTACCAAATTTCAGCACTCTATCTCAATCCCTTCGGATAATAGGGTGATTACAAGAGACGGACGGACGGACGGACGGACGGACGGAAATGGCTAAATCGGATTAGAATGACAAACTTAATATACCCTCCATGTTAAGGTGGAGGATATAGAAAAGTGTTAAGCACACAATGACTGAAACAGAGCAATCTCAGATCGAATATATCATAATCTACTAATATTTCATTAAAGTGTCAATTTGGTTAGAATATGGTGTTTGAGGAAAAATTATGCGGTTTTTCTGATGCGTGGTTACATGATACAGCAAGCTTTTAGTAGAACTGTTAGATTGTGACCATGACAACGGTATCGAAAACAAAACTGGTAGTATTCATCAGTGACGTAGGCTTTCCGGGTTCTCGGAATAAGAAGCAAAATTTCTAGACCAACAAGGCACGAAAAATGTATGGACTTATTGCAAAATCCCATGCATCTATAGTGAGAAGTTACAATTTCAGGCCACATGTTATTCTCTAGGCTTTTGGAGTGAAGGTAGAAGTAGAGCATTGCAAAAGTAACCAATGCATCCAGAAAAATCATAGTGACCGAACTGAGAATCGTAAGGTAACTGTGAATAGTGATCGCTATCGTTAGATGATATCCTGATTTTTTGACCAAAATGCAAGAGCTTGACTTGCAGGCACTCGTAAGAACGGCTTAATTGAGAGGCGAGTTCGGTAAAATTTTCTTTCACCTTCAGGACCGATCAATTGACCGCCAAGATCGTGTGATTTAAAGCCCTTAGGCTATTTTGGGGGACTGTGTTACAGCTCATGCCTATACAGATGTGAAGCATTTACTCAAGAGATACGGGCTGAAATGTTGGAAAGAGTATGCCAAAATTGGATTAAGCTTAAGATTTTGCAAGCAATAAACTTCAAATATTAAGATATATGGACAGTACTACCAATTCACATAAAACCTTCAACTCTCCTATAGCTCTTCAAATAACCCTATACAATGCCAAATAAGAAATTCGAATTTTTTATCAAAAATAAAATTTACTTTTTATTTAAAAAAATAAACTTTTCAAAAACTTATTTCTGATAAAAGTTGTGTTAGTAATTATTTAATAGTAAATGCTTTGTTTCAGGTAACTTCTATTGCTTTTTAGTGCCATATGTGTCTTTGATCGTTGATCTGCGATTTTAGTATTTTAATAAGGAATGAATATCGGCATCCAATTTTTTACGACCATCGAGGAATGCAAGTTCCATAACAACCAAACATTGAACAACTTCACCGCCAGCCTTGCGTACCAGTTCGATGGCAGCACTAAGTGAACCACCAGTGGCCAATAGATCATCAATAATGAGAACCTTTTGTCCGGGCTTTATTGCAGTTTTTTGCATTTCAAAGATGTCCTGTAAAGAAAGTATGATATTAGAAAATGCCATAAGAGATATAATTACAAAAAATCTTTTATTTTACTTATGATAAATTTAAATAAGAATTCGCCATATAAATATTTTAATCTGCATATATGAACAAAATATATATAAGTATTGAGCATCACTTGTTTTTGTCATATGAAATATATTTTGAAAATCACTAATATGTTTTAATTTCTTTGAATTAAATTATTTTTTTTTTTGCATTCTCTAAAGGTAAAAAACCATCTTTGGGCTCAATAATCCAAATAAAAATCACAAAAGATAAGTCAAAAGTAGATCATATTGGCTTTAGAGCAGTTTTAATTTGGTTTCAGAGGGAATTAATATATTGGAGGCATGTCCAATTCTAAATCGATTTTCACTAAATAAAAATGTTATAGTGCATCATATTAGGATTATATTAAAAAATATATATCGCAGCCGAGATCCACCAAATGGAAATGTACGTCCCGAAATTCACTCCATTTTAGGCTGATATTAGCCATTATTTGCACAATAAACCTAAAATCGGATTGGGGATATGTATGGGAGCTATATCCAAATCTTATCCGATCTTGATAAAATTTGGCAAAGGTATTTCCGAGCTCTATAAGATATAGGTTACCAAGTATCATTGTTGTTGAATGCCTATTACGAATGTGAGGGACTTAAACGCGGTGTGGTGCACAATTAACCCGAAATCGGTTGAAGATATATATGGGAACTAAGTCCAAAGCAATACCGATCTTAATACAATTTGGCAAAGGTATTTCTGGGCTGTATCTGATATCTGGTACCAAATATCATTGTTGTCGAATGCATATTACGAATGTCAGGGACTTAAACGCTAAATCGGATGAAACCTATAGATGGGAGCTACAGCAATATCTGAACCGATTTTCACCGAATTCGATGTAATTACTTCTAGACTGAATTCGGTCGGATTTGCCAAAATTCAGGTCATTTGGACTGATATCGGCCATGTGGTGCACAATTAACCCGAAATTGGTTGAAGATATATATGGGAGCTATATCCAAATATGAACCGACCTAGATACAATTAGGCAGAGGCATTTCTGGTCTGTATCTTATATCTGGTACCAAATATCATTGTTGTCGAATGCATATTACGAATGTCAGGGATTTAAAGACCAAATCGGCCAAATGCGACTTGCATTTTGTTCACAAAAATATATGGACAGACGGAAGGACTGACATGCACAAATCGACTCATAAAGTGATTCTATGATTCTCAAAAGTAACTATGGGTCTATCTCGCTTCTTTCTCCATGTTACAGACAAATGCACAAAGACAATACCCTTACCACTATGTGGGGTGTAGGGTATAATAAGAATATGTGTCTTAATGTCAATCTCGTACCGTTCATTTCACTTTGAGTATTTAATATTTCCGGTCTCCACCAAATTCTGTATTATTCTTGTGTAGACATCTAAACTTATATTACATACAATAACAAAATTACAATTGATATTTGAAGAGCGGTTCGTGGGCTAAACAGAAGTCATATCAGACAATGATTCGAAATTCTGTAATATGACGAAGGGCAAACAACTTCGGGATGTGACTTTTGAATCATGCATAGCTAAATGTTTTTCTATAAAAATCTCACTCTCCATCAAAATATTTATATTAATATATATTTATATAATATATATTTATATTAATATATTATTATATATTAATATATATTTGCCATTACCCATACAAATCGTTTTAATGAATTTTAAAAATATAATCTTGGGCGTTAAAAATTTGATAAATTGCATAGATGTATATTGAAGAAAAGTTAATTTTAAAGACGAAAACCAATTCAATGTATTACCCAAAACAGCCCCGCTTTCGAACCTCAATAAAGTGATCATTAATTAACTTTCCCAGATACAATTCCCTAAGACACATCTATCAATACTCCTTGACCTTTACTTACTGAACCATACTCCAATGTATATTCCACTGATACACATTCGCCAGGCAACTTGCCCTTTTTGCGTATCGGTGCACAACCGACTCCCAGTTCAGCGGCAAGCATTAAATTGAATAGAAAACCACGAGATTCCAAGCCCACAATTAGGTCAATATCTGGATTGGTTTTACGCACGTGTTCCAGCAAAACATCTTTCAGATACTGGCATGCTGTGGCATCAGTCAAAGCACCAAAAATGTCTCTAGAATATATTAAAGTTCCTTTAATATGTGGTACATACATATATGAATGCCATAACTCACCGGAAAAGTATGCCCTTTTTAGGAAAGTCTGGATAAACGCCAATATGTTTATTAATATATTCCAACTTTTGTTCGCTATTCATTTTGGTTATCTTTGATTGGGAGCCGTGTTTAATGACATAAAAGATGCTGCCTCTCTGAAGGGTCGTTGTCTTGTCAATGACTGCTGTTGCCTCTATTTGCTGATAATTTCAATGTCCAGTCCAAAACGATGGCGGTATCATTGACAATTTTCTTACATCTGTTATCAATAAACTCTACACCAACAACAAATCAACATCAAAATCATTTTGATAAGACAATACACGAACAGCTGACAATGACAACTGAAGGCATGGATGGGAGTATTGCATTGTCAACATTTGGTGGCGATTTGTTTGCCAAACATTAATAATGTTTACACAGTAGACAGGCAGATGTAAAACTTTTGATACCAAACTTTATAATGGAACATCTATTGATATCGCAAAAATTTTTAACAAGGGAAGTGGCGTATTGTTACTTGTTAAGGGTTATCGATAATAAAACAACCACAGGGAAACGTTCAGTATCGATCTATCTATTTATGCTTTTTGTATTATCGATAACATTTAACGCGTGACACAGGTTAACGGGAGTGTTTTGGTTAGATCTTAACAGTTTTTATACCCTACAACACTATGTGTTGGGGGTATTATAAGTTTGATTGGGCCAAAAATTATGTAACACCTCGAAATATTGGTTTCCCACATAGGAAAGTATATATGGATCTTCCTAGCTCGCCGAGCTGAGTCGATCTAGCTATGTATGTCCGTCCGTCCGTCTGTCCGTCTGTCCATGTTAATTTGTAATCACTCTACAGGTCGCAATTATGGCCCGATCTTCACGAAATTTAGAATGGAGGTGGGGTTAAGGTCAGAATAGAACCCTATTTCTTTTGGAGATGATCGCATAATATTTAGGGGTCGAAATGGACCAAAAACTGAAAAATTTCTTGATTTTGCAGTTGCTCTACAGGTCGCAATTATGGACCAATCGACGCGGCATGGCATGGGGCTAGAGCTTCGGGCTGGGCAGAAGCCTTCCATTTTTGATGGTCATCGGGTAATATTTAGTGGGTGAAAAAGACTATACATTTGTGTTAAATAAAAGTCAAAATTTCTATGAAACCACGAATATTTTTAGTCCCGGCGAAATCATAAATAGACGAACAGGTCAATTCTGACCGTTACGTAGATACCGATAGTAAATATATCGGATATATATAGCGAAATATATACAATGTGTATATACAAAGGAAAGGAATGTTAGATGGAATGCTTATATCTCAAGAATGGCTGGACCGATTTTGACAAATTTTGCCAATTCAGAACGCGCTCTTGACATAAAAGTATAAAATCTAAAAAAATCGCATAAAAATAAGTCAAAAATTATGTTAATATAGATTTTGTAGTATTTTGTGACATTTTTTTTATTTTTTTCATATTTTTTATCGCATGCGATTTTTTCATTTTGACTTATAATATTAAGGTATACATTTTGTAATATTTTTCCACCTTACGACACAGGTTTGGGATATTATATACAGATTGCAATTATCGTCCGATCCTCACGAAAAGGGTAGGGTTGGGCTCAGAAGGGCTAAGCCTATTGTTTTCAGAGATGTCCGCAATATATTTAGGGGTTGAAATGGACCAACAACTAAAATGTTCCTTATTTTGCAGCCGTTATAAAGGTCACAAATAGAAACGAATGGACACGAAATCTCGCATGAAGTTAGAGTTTAGGACAGCGGGAAGAATGAACCACTACTTTTGTCTGACTACTTTTGCTGATTTCGTTAACGAATATAGCCAAATATCCTAGACAAGCAAATTATATAGATGAGTCTAAATTTAGAAATACAGAGGGACCTCTTGCTTTTGGAGATGATCGCACAATATTCAAAAACAGGAAAAATTTCCTGATCACACAATTGAAGCCAATTGACACGCCTGAGAAAAAAGTTAGGGACAGGGAAGAAGTCTAGCATTATGTATGGCCATTGGATTATATTTAGCTGTAAAATGGACCACTACAACCAACAGCACGACGAAGTTCGTAAATATTGCTTAAATGTCCCTGGTCAAAATGCTAGTAATATCTGGGCAGTGCTCCGTAACATAATTTCAAAAGCGAAATCTTCCAAAATGGATTTGGACATAAGAGGGCTTCTAACATATTGTAGTGTTGTAGGGTATCACATGGTCGGCCCCGCACGACTATAGCCTTTGCTTACTTGTTTTTTTTTAAGATTTCTATCTATAGCTAGCAATTATGTACTCGTTGAAATGAAATGGTAGGATTATAATTAAATCTTTAACGGATTTTAATTAATGTTTACATACCCTCCACCATACATAGTTTGGAGGGTATATTAAGTTCGTCATTCCGTTTGTAACTCATCAAAATAATAACTTTAGACCTAATAAAGTGTATATATTCTTGATCAGCGTAAAATTCTGAGACGATTTAGCGAAGTACATCCGTCCGTTTGTTGTAATCGTGCTAGAGTCAAAACAAATATATTTAGAGAGCTAAAATTTTGCACAGATGAGTCTTTTGTCTGTTGGCAGTACGAGGCAAGTTCGAAAATGGGCTACATCGGTCTACGATATCGGATAGTCCCCAAATAACGGAGGATTTTATACATATTTTTCAATGGAATTGCCTAAAAATCCACACAAGGAGTTCCTAGTAAGAGAATTGTCTATATAGGTCTACGATATCGAATATCATTCATATAACGGTATCCCCGATGCTCGGTATTTTGATGATTTTAGCCACATTTTTCAATGAAATTGTCTCAAAATCCCCACAAGGATTTCTTTTTTAGTACTTTACCCCCCTGGAAGAGAATAGGTCAATCATACCCTATAGACACCCCCCGCACATAAGATATTTGTATGATTTTTGTAGCCCTCTTTCAACGGGTTTTCTTTTGAGCGGTATTCTTCGAAGTATTTTTTTTAACTTTTCAAGTTCCTTCAAAATGGTGGAGGGTATTAAAAGTTCGACCAGGCCTAACTTAGCTGCTTTTTTACTTGTTCGATATCATAAAAGTATCGTAGTAAAAAGTTTTTCATTCTTGCAATTATGGAACAAAAAAAATCATACAAATCATGGCTCAACCAGAAACGTTGTTTAGCTTCAAAGAAACTATAAAAAAATCAGCTCTGTACCAGAGTCGTATTGTCGAAAATACGCATTTATGTTGAAATAAAACCTACAACAACTTCGAATTGTTTTTTTACTGTTCCAAACAATACACACATATACACGGTGAGATAAAAAAACTGCAACAAAGTCAAACGACATAATTTTTTAATAAGTTTTTTAAAATTATATTAAATGAAAGCAAAAATTGTCGTAAATAGCATCAAATTTTAGAATAAGCAGTTTTTTCATCTCACCCTGTCTGTGCGCTATAGGAAAACGTGGACCTAAATTTTCAATATTCTGCCGCCGGAGCTAGAACCAATTATGAAGTACAAATTCCAATTTTTAGACAAATTCATGAAAATCATCGAAATACTGAATATCCGGAGGTATCATTAAATGGGGGCTATACAAAAACGTGCACCTATACATACAATGTTTCGCCACTGGATCTGGAATCCATTATGAACTGCAAATACCAATTTTTAGTCAAATCTGTGGAAAAATGTGGAAATAATAATCAAAATACCGAATATCGGGAGGTAGCGTTATATGGCGGCTATACCAAAACGTGGGCCGATGTATCTCATTTTCAGTACCAACCATCCTAGACACAATACAAATTGTTCTGCCAACTTTTGAAGCTCTACGTCAAATAATGTGGGCTGTATCGTGATTTCAACAGGCAGATAGCCGGATATACTTAAATCGACTCAGATTTTTATACTGATTATAAATATACACACTTTATGGGGTCTACGACGAATATTTAGGGTTGTTACAAACGGAATGACAAAGTTAATATACCCTCATTTTCAAGATGGAGGGTATAAAAATGTGACATAGAATTGGATTACCAGAAACAAAGTTGGAATTTAAGGAACTATGTTCTCAGATCGTTTCACGTCAAATATTATGTTGTTATACGTATAAAATATAATTTATCTATATCTATATAACAGATGATTCATCGGATATCAATATTTCATTCTGTCCCAATATCAAAGGGTAGACTGTGAGTAAATATTTACCTACCCATTGATAAATTGGGTCAATAGTTAAGCCCAAGTTCTTGATTATATATCATAAATTATAAAGTCATGATGAGATATCGAAATTATGTAAATTAGCATAAACAAAATCCAAAACATAAAAACTTTCTAACAACACACACACACACACTCTGACATCGCTCTCATACACACATTTGTTAGATACAAAATCGAAATTTTATTTCCATTATTCAATTCCGTAATACATGAAAGAATTCGTTCTCACACACGTACTGCGGTGAGGTAAATTAGATATGACATAAAATTGTGGTTTAAATCGGGTTATGGCTGGCAAAAAAAAAATAAAATTAAAAAATTACTTAACAATTTAATAACCTGAGATCGAACAGTTCAATTGATGAAGTTAAATGGCAGTAACACACACACAAAAATAAAACTAACGGCCAACGGAGAACAGCAAAGGTTATGCTTCTACTCCAATTTGGTCATTTCGCTGTGGTTAATGTGCTTATGGTTGTTTGTTTGTGTGTCATAAATCGGTTAATTTGTCTTCAAGAACACGACACCACCACCACATAATGATCATGAATTGAAGTTGACTGACTGTCAGACAGACAGACAGACAGATTGGCCAAATGCTCTTAGCCATCATTCCAATGTGAGCTAAGATCATAAGAATCCACACAAAACAAACGAACATTGAAAAGACATTAGCCAAGACAGGTGCTAAACGGCCAAGAAGAACAATTTACCGCTCAAGAAATGTAGAGAGAATAGAAAAAAGGTGATGTGATGCTAGTTGAGAGTTTCATAGATAAAAAATGAGAGACTTGTTTATATGAATTTTGGGTGAGAGAAGTATTTTGGGAGAATAATAAAAGTTTACTCCCATTAACGAAGTTAATAACAAAATGAGGGAAATTTAGATATTTTTGAAATTTAATTTTTATACCATCCACCATACATAGTATGGAGGGTATATTAAGTTCCGTTTGTAACTCATCGAAATAATCATTTTAGACCCAACAAAGTATGTATATTCTAGATCAGCGTAAAATTCTAAGACGATTTAGCCCTGTCCGTCCGTCTGTCCGTCGGTTGTAATCGCGCTACAGTCTAAACGAATTAAGATAGGAAGCTAAAATTTTGCACAGATTCCTCTTTTGTATTTTGATGATTTTAGCCACATTTTTCAACGGAATTGTCTGATAATCCACACAAGGACTTCCTTGTGGGTACTTTATCCCGTGGAAGATAATTATTTATATAGGTCCACGATATCGTATAGCCCCCATATAACGGTACCCCCCGATATTTGGTATTATGATGATTTTACCCACATTTTTCAAACGAATTGTCTGAAAAGCCACACAAGGAGTATCTTGTGGGTACTTTATACCTCGGAATAGAATTATCTATATAGGTCCACGATATCGTATAGCCCCCATATAACGGTACCCCCCGATATTCGGTATTTTGATGATTTTAGCCACATTTTCAACGGAATTTTCTGTTAATCCACACAAGGAATTCTTTGTGAGCACTTTACCCCCTGACAGAGAATTCTCTATATAGGTTAACGATATCGTATATCCCCCATATAACGGTACCCCCGATATTCGGTATTTTGATGATTTTAGCCATATTTTCCTATGGTATTGTCTGAAAATCCACACAAGGAGTTATTTGTGAGCACTTTAACCCTTGAAAGGTAATTGTCTGTATAGGTCCACAATATCGTATATCCCCCCATATATCGGCACCTTCCAATGTTTGATATTTGAAATATTTTAACAGAATTTTAATGGATTTTATTTTTTGAAAAGTTTCTAATTCGTTCGAAATGGTGGAGGGTATTCAAAGTTCGGCCCGGCCGAACTTACTGCTTTTTTACTTGTTTAGATTTACAATTTCACGATTGAGCTCTATATTAACCCTGCAGAAAACGTCAATGGTGAATAACTACTGGATTACTTTTGACTCTTTTCCTATAGACACTCACTAGTGATATTGGAGACATTGGAACCTGTGGGTCAGTAGTCCATGACGGGTCATATGGAGACATTGCAACCAGTTGAAGAGGGGCCATAGTAGTTTAGACATTGGTAGTTTAGAGTTTATTCGTTACTTTTTAATCCGCATTTGAGAAACGATTTAGTAAATTTCATAATTAGTTGAATTGTATTGTGAAGTTGCTTCAAGAGAAGAATTGTAAATTTATTTCAATTCATATTCAATTGTATCCCCAGCCTTGAGTTATGGCTATTCAAACTGTTGACCCTTTATGGGAAAGGCTGCGAAGCAGTTGTCCAATATTGACCAATTCGTATCTGACCTAAGACTGAAAAAAATTTACAACGTGTCAGATTTGGACTATACTTTATATGAGATATGTGCAAATTTTTGGAAAATGTGGAAATATGCGTGAGGTAACAGATATAGCGGACCAAAACATTCCATTTTCATACCTCATCTAATACAGATAAAAATATTGGTATGTGCACAATTTAATTTCGCATTTTATGAGCTTCATAGGTACTCAAAATTTTGACCATTTGTGGGGGAGTTACCAGAAGGAGTGGTCCGATATATCCCAATTTCACACCAGACCTTGACTTAATTAAAATGTTGTGATGTGTGAAATATGAATAGAACCTGATGCTTATTTCTGATTTTATAATCGTTTTGGTAATTCAAAACTTTGACCCTTTGTGGGGACGGTACCAGAAGGAATGGCCCGATCTCTACTATTTTTATAACAGATCTTGTGTTGATGAAAATATTGAGATGTACCAAGTCTGAATGATATCGGATGTTAATTTTGTGTTTTATGAGCTTCATGGATATTCAAACGTTTGACCGTTTGTGGGGGAGGTACCAGAAAGATTGGAGCGATATATTCCATCTTCACACCAGACCTTGGGTTAATAAAAATATTGTGATGTGTGTAATTTGAAGGCAATCGGATACTTACATCTCATTTTGTAAGAGTTGTAATTATTCAAAATTTTCACCCTTTGTGGGGGAGGTGCTTGATGGAGTGCTCCGATATTGTCCATTTTCGCACCTGACCTAGAACTGACGCAAATATTAGGATTTGCAAATTTGGAGCAAAGTCGGATTATCCTTTCTCTCACTGTGCAGTAAATTATTTTTTACATTTTGTGTGAGAGGTACCAGAAGGAGCAGATAGATATTGCCCATCTCCGAACACGATCTAAGTTTGACAATAATATTACGATGTACAAAGTTTGGATCAAATGGGATACTCCCTTCTATAGTTATCGTGCGCAACAGCCAGCCAGACAGATCGACTGTAAAAGATCGGCAAATATTGAAAAATGAGCTCGGGGTAAAGTGAAATTCCAAAAAGTACAAGAGCTTACACCGCAGCGGAAAGAAAATAGACTCAAAAGAGCTAAGGAGTTGCTTCGCTTAGTCGAAAGTGGTGAAATGCCGAATTTGATTGTCTCCGATGAGCAAACATTCGTTGTCCAGCAGTTTGTAAACAAACAAAATGTTTCGTGTTTGCTTGCCAAAGAGGTCAGCTGAAGATCCGCACCTTCGGTTGGCCAGCAAACTCAAGCGTCAGCCATGGTGATGGTGTGGGCCGCAATAACAGCCGATGGTCGCTCTCCGCTCGTATAAATCGACCGTGGCAGCAGAATACATGCCGAATATTATCGCGAAAATATTCTGGAGGGAAACATTCGGGTATCGTGTGACGCTTTCGTTGGCCGTTTGAGGGTCATAATTCGTGCCAAAGGATTTGTTCTAAAATTTGATGCTATTTCCGACATTTTTTGCTATTATTTAATAAAATTTAAAAAAAAATTGTTAAAATTATGGCGTCTGACTTTGTTGCATTTTTTTTATTTCACCCTGTATACCCTCTGTAGCCATATGGCTGAGGGTATAATAATGCGCGAAATTCTCGAATTACAATTGAAATATTTGCCAATAACAACTAGACATGTTGCCAAATTTTTCAATCATCCAATTTTCAACCAGTACCGTCCTCATATGCCTTACCGAAATTGTTATATAACCCTCGTATACAAGATTAATTTTCACCTGAATCCTCTCAATTACTCTCACCTGTACTCTTCAGTACATCTCACTAACCAGGTGTGTGCTGTTCAACTTCAGCTCTAGTTTAAGACGAGACGGCTTAAGTAACGGACGTGGTATTCGCATGCGTTAAGGTAAACGAGTGGGAAAATAAACCAAAACAAAAAGAAACGGATATTGAAATATATTTTGGTTAGCTATTCATGAGACGAGAAAGAAGTGCTAATCAAATTCAAGAAAGAAAAAAAAACCAAACGAAAAAAAACCTGAATATTGAATATAGAATTTTGAAGATACAAATTGTTGCCTTTTTAACAAAATATTGTTGTGGTTTGTGAGAAAATAAAAATACAAAACAGGGTTTGGCCTGGAAATGAAAAAGAATAACAAAAGCCAACCAAAATTCAGATTTATCTAAAAAAAGGTGGTGCATACATAAATTGCTGGCCAAAAGGAAACCAGTAAAGAAATTCTAAAGGTCACTTGTATTAACGGTGAGCTAAGCGTGAGAAAGAAACGTTTAAAGCAATTTCCTCATTAATTATGAATGTGTCCCAAAAATCGGATGATCGTGAAATTTGTCTAGAGTTGTGTTTCTGCTCTTGTCTGTATGTGCTAAAATAGAAATTTATCTGCAAAACTAAAATTTGGTTTTTAAGAAATAGTCGAAAATGAAAGAAAAAAACGCAAATCGAGAAATGAAAACCAGTCTTTTATCTTGAGAAATAAAAAAGAAGCAAAAACAACAACGCAAGAAGAAAACATTAACGGCCATACAAGAAGATCAGCGCAGGGCTGCCCCTCTGTGTAACATCATCAACAATTTTAACCAGAAAGCAGCAGCAGCAACTGCACAGGGAGAGTAAGCGGCATCAGACACAACGCGAATCCGCAAAAACAAAAAACGAGAAAAAACAAACCCATCAACCTTCGCAGAATCTTACATCTTAACCAGTCTGAGTTTACGTTTTTTCGCGCTTTTGTAGTAAAACAACTCTTGGCAAAAAAAAAAAGAGAGTGGGGCCACAACAATGAAACAGAATCAGACTCTACTACCAACATCGACTGGGCTGCTAGCCACATACCAGAGTAGTAGTCTCAACTCCATTGCAAGGAGAGCCATGATATTGGTTGCACTTTTGCGTAAAGCTGTTTGTGAATGTTTGTGGACGACATGAGAATCGTGATCTAATAAAAAAACATGAATATACGGCTAGCACTCCGCATGGTCGCCGAGCTATTGAAATGTTTGTTGGTCGGTCAGTCGTCTATCTGAATACCACGAAAAAAATGGTATTTCATTGATTTCAAAAGTCTATTCATCGCCATTGAATGTCAATATTTATTCGAAACTTCGTTTATGCCGGCATCAATATAAATCTGGATCATTTAGGAAATGTCAATTTCACTCTCATAAAATGTGGCAGATATTAAACTTGATATTCTGTTCGACGAAGATCGGAAGACGAAGATTTTATAAAATTATGATAAGGTTCTCATCCTAATCTCATAATTTTGACAACTTTCAACTGAAGGAATTGTGATTTGATATTAAGGGTCTTTGAGAAAATAAATTTCAAGATTGGTCTATTTTCCAGTATACTCCGATATAATGGTACCTTCGGATTTTTATGCTTTTGAACACATTTTCCGACCAAATTAGTTCTCATTTAACATTTTGGGTGCTCAGGAGATATAACAGCTACCTTTAAGAGTCATTCCGTGTAGATCCATTGTATGGTATATCATCTGTAATGAATTTTCAGCTTCATTATACCCTCAGCTATATGGCTAGAGAGGGTATAAATCATTTGATACGGCCAAAACGTGCCTCATCGAAATATTGGTTTTAGACCCTCGGTCTCTTTGGACCAAGTCCGTTTCAGGACATCTGGGGTTGATGTAGCGATGTCCGTCTGTCTGGCTGGCTGGTGCGCACGATAATTCTCGATGGTAGTATCCGATTTGGCCCAAACTTGGTACATCGTAAATCTATTATCAAACTTCGATCGAGTTCGGAGATAGACAATATCGATCCACTGCTTCTGGTACCTCCCAAATAAAATTTCAAACCTTAAAATTTAATAACTGCACAGAAAGAGAAAGGATAATCCGATTTTAGTCCAACTTTGCAAATCCTAATATTTGCACAAGTGCTATGTCAGGTACCTCCCCCACAAAGTGTCAAAATGTTGAATAATTATAAAATGTGATGTAAGATTCCTATTGTCTTCAAATTATATAAATCACAATACTTTTATTTACCCAAGGTCTGGTGTGAAGATGGAATATACCGGTCCCCAAACCTCCCCAAATTTTGAATATCCATGAAGCTCATAAAACGCGAAATTAACATACGATTCCATTCAGACATGGCACATCTCAATATTTCTATCAACACAAGATCTGTTATAAATATGGTGGAGATCGGACCATTATTTGTCTTACCGCCCCCACAAAGAGTCAAAGTTTAGAATAACCAAAACGAATATAAAATCCGAAAAAGCATCCGTTCTCTTCAAATTACAAACATCTCAGTATTTTTATTAACACAAGATTAGCGGTCCACTCCCTCTGATACCAAGGGTCAACATTTTGAATCTTCATAAAGCTCCTATAACACGAAATTAATATTCGATTCCATTCAGTCTTGCCACATCTTAATATTTCTATCAACACAATATCTGTTATAAATATGGTAGAGATCGGACCATTCCTTCTGGTACCTCCCCCACAAATGCTAAAAGTTTTGAATAACCAAAACGATCATAAAATCCGAAATATGGATCCGGCTCTCTCCATATTTCACACATCCAATTATTTCTACTAACACAAGGTCTGGTGTGAGGATGGAATTTATCGGTTCACTCCTTCTGGTACCTTCCCCACAAAGGGTCAACATTTTGAATATTCATAAAGCTCATATAACGCGAAATTAACATCCGATTCCGTTCAGTCTTGGTACATCTCAATATTTTTATCAACACTAGATATGTTATACAGATGGTAGAGATCGGACCATTCCTTCTTGTATCTCCCCCACAAATGGTCAAAGTTTTTAATAACCAAGACGATCATAAAATCCGAAATAAGCATCCAGTTACCATTAAATTTCTGGTACCTCCCACACAAAGGGACAAAACTTTAAATATCTATAGATTTCATAAAACGCGAAATTAGCATCTTATTCCATGCAGACTTGGCACATCATAATATTTCCATCAACATAAGATCTGTTGTAAAGACAATGGAGATGCGATCATTTCTTCTGGAACCTCACCCACATAAGGTTCAAGATTTGAAAAACCAAACGCTCAAAAAAGCGAAATAAGCATCAAAATCTCTTCAAGCTTCACACATGTAATAAGTTTTGCTGACACAAGATCTGTTGTAAAGATAGTATATATCTACGAACCCCTTCTGGGGTGAGGCACCTCTCCCTCAAAAGGTCACAATTTTCAATACTTTTATCTGCCATAACTTTCGAAACAAGTCAGCGATTCTTCAAAACTTACTTAACTATCACATATCTCATATAAAGCAAAGGAAATAAACAATATAGTTCAATTCTGGCATTTCGCAATATTTATATCATATTTATTTAGGTCCGATACGAAATGGATAGAATTGGCCCATTCCCTCGGAACCAATTTCAGAGAGGGTCAACAATGTGAATAAACATAATACAAGTCAGTATATATTTAAATAATCGAACATTGGTTGATGTCGGCAAAACCGGCTGATATATTTTAACTTGTTTTATTTAATTTCATTAGGAGTTTCGCAGATTGTGGCAATCCAATTAAATTGAAAATTTATAAAAAAAATATTGTGAAAAAATTAAATATGCCAAGAAAACATTTGAAGAATATGCTCCTGTAAGGAAGCGACTAAACGTTAACTTCATGAGCAATTTCATGTCGATTGGTCTATAATTGTGAAGGAAAATCAGTTATTGGTCCACATTACCCTCTTAATATTTTGCGATCATCTCCAACAACAATAAGTTTATATTGTGACCCTACCCCAACTCCGTGCAAAATATCGTGAGAATCGAATCATAATTGCGACTAGTAGTGTGATAACAAATTAACAGGGATTTATAAGTAGTTACGACTTCCGAAAATTAGATAGGAAACCTATTATTTAGAAATGGGAGTCCAGCTGCATGTTTATTCAATATTCAACGATATATCCAAATGAGATTTCCATTAAACGATTTAAAATATTTTAGCAGTCCTAACCAGATGGAAAATTTTGGTTTGAGTGGAAGAAATATCTCTTCAGGGAAATTTGTCACTTTAGTGATTTTAAAAGAGTTTTCATTGAGAATGGTATAAAATCTTTAATTGGGACCATGGTACAGTGAAGAGAAGGTAGGCTAACTTTGAAAAAATTGCAAGTATAAGTAATGTCGGAATTGATATCAAAACAATTAACAATCAAACAACTTGTTGCATTTGTTTTGAATAAATAATTGAAAACCGCGAAAACTGAATGAAAGGTCAAAATTTCTTTTCAAAATCATGTTCTATATATCTCTAATATCTCTAATAGTTTATTTCGCTACAAAAACTGTAGATTCTGTCGATGCATACGATGAAATAAACATTTTGAAAACACCCGAATTTGAATATTTTTTTTGTTATTGAAAAGAAAACATATATATAAACAAATATAGTTGACAAAATAAACCAAGAAAATTTAAAAATTAAAATCTATGGTATGATAGCCCTACCTTGATTTTATTGTACCATGATTGGGAAAATTTTCATGTAGTTTAGTACAAATATTTACTGCACAATTTCATGTATCAGCTTTTTGACGTAACTGTTTGGAACAGTGTTATTTCCGTTCCAAATTTATATCGTAAAATTTAATAGCACCAACAAATTTTTTCAACTATTATTCTGCAGTTGTCCGCCATAAACTATAACACCGACCCAAACCTAATTTTGATTTTCATTTTCTAAATAACCTGACTCATTCGCAAACAAAATTTATGTGTCAGTCCTCAAGAGATGAAAAGAGAAAATTGAAAAGAAAGAAAACACCGAAAAAAAAACAACGAAACACAAAAGAATTCGCCATACATTGAAAAATAAAAAACCAATAAAGGAAGTGATCGAAAACAAACAAAAGTTAAGAAGAAAACACACAAAACCCAAAAAAAAGAAAGTTAAATTTCGATTTGTTGTTTTTGTTAATTTTTCGTAAACAAAGAAGAAAAAATCATAATTTTTGGAAACGAACGTGCGAACCAACAGCAATAGCGGACGACCTCAAAGATACAACATTCACATCTTCCCAGCATTGCTCACGTAGGTGCACACCACTCTCTGGCAAATGTATGGTGGAAGTTACACAGGTAAATTTCCCAAGTACACATCACTAAACGACGGCCGCAAACCATACCTTCCGTACGTCCGTCAAGAAGAGTCAATAACGCCGTAACTGCACACACACCGCATCATTCGGAGCAACAACAAGAATC